TCACTGCATATTACCTACGTAATTTCGAAATTTTCAAATATGATGGACATGTATGTAATTAAACAAAATATTATAATTTTTTTTACTTCTTCACAGTTTGAATAATTTAGATACATTTTTGAGTAATGGCTACAATTTTTTTTTTATAGTTACGAATTCTCTGCGGACCATTAGAAATGTTATGTGGAACACCGGTGGTCCACCTGGACCAAGTTGACAAAGACTGGACTACACGACAATTGCAAATACCTGTCATTATTTCTTTGTTGATGTGCCTGTTGTATAACAACTATCTACTCTGAGACAGAATGCATGGTTATCAACAAGTGGATGAGCCCAAAATGCAAATACAAGTACCAAAATATAAATATCTGGGAGGTTTTCTAATGGGAGACCGAAAATACGAAACTGAGATACGAAGTCGTGTTGGGATGATCAAAGATGAATTCCAAACGCTAAGCACGGTATTAAGAGACAGAAAATTAGAAAAAAACGAAAATGTCTTGTGTTATGTGATATCTGTCCTCTTGTATGGCAGTGACTGTTGGAGAAACTCCTTAAAGATGAAGGAGAGACTTGAAGCAAAAGAAATGGGTTTCTACAGAAAGATCTTGAAGATACGACGGAAGGAACATGTGAGCAAAGATGAGGTATTAGAAAATGAAACAAAATGTAAGTTTATAGTTAACATCAGAGACAGTTGAAATTTCTGGGGTACGTAACGAAGAAGGAGGACTTGGAAATCTGATACTCATAGGGCTGTTTAAGGAAAAGGACAGATGAAAGCAGTGCGTAACATACATTGATGGACTTGGACAAATGGATGGCGTAACAGGGTTTGGGAGAAATAACAAGAAGGCAATACGTATTTAGAGCAATAGAGAATAAGAAGTTGTGGGGGACAATTACCGCTTACGTCCTGGATGAACTGGACGCATAGAAGAAGAAGAAGAAGAAGAAGAAGAAGAAGAAGAAGAAGAAGAAGTGGAAAAAGAAGAAAATAGAAAAAGAAGAAGAAAAACATGAAGAAGAAGAAGAAGAAGAAGAAAATAGAAGAAGAAAAAGAAGTGGAAAAAGAAGAAAATAGAAAAAGAAGAAGAAAAACATGAAGAAGAAGAAGAAGAAGAAGAAAATAGAAGAAGAAAAAATGAAGAGGAAAAAAGAAGAAGAAGGAAATAGAAAAAGAAAAAATGAAGAGGAAATAAGAAGAAAAAGAAGAAGAAGAAAATAGAAGAAGAAAAATAAGTGGAAGAAGAAGGAAATAGAAAAAGAAGAAAAAAACATGAAGAAGAAGAAGAAAATAGAAGAAGAAAAAGATGAAGAGGAAAAAAGAAGAAAAAGAAGAAGAAGAAAATAGAAGAAGAAGAAAATAGAAGAAAAAATAGAAAGAAAAATAGAAGAAAAAAAGAAGAAAAAATAGAAGAAGAAAAAATAAAGAGAAAAAAAGAAGAAGAAGAAAAAAATGAAGAAGGAGAAAATAGAAGAAGAAAATAGAAGAAGAAAAAGAAGAAGAAAAAATAGAAGAAGAAAAAGAAGAAGAAGAAGAAGAAGAGTTTTTGTTATTTAAATTGTTCTTAGAAACCAGAACAAATGAAAATCCGAAGGTGCCAATTTAGCAGAATTCGGTGGATGCTGAAGGGTTACTCATTTCAACATTTTAAGAATCTGCAAGGTCCGTTCTGTAACATGTGGTCTTGAGTTGCCGCGGTGGAAAATTCACCTTTTCGATTTGCCAAAATCAGCTGTTTTTCTTGAATGGTCGCATTGAGATTAGTAATTTGGTTGCAATACTTCTTTGCAGCTATTGTTTCGCCGGCTGGAATAAGCTCAAATTGAATTATCTTTCTGTAATCCTACAAAACGGACAATCGCACTTTAGCCACGGGTTCTGCGCATTCAGCCATTTTCGCCGCCTTTGACCATTCTGCTCAAGAACGGTTCTTCTTCTTGGAGTAACAGGAAAGAAATCGCCGCAGAAACAAGAGAGAGTTTTTTTTTGTCTCTTGCTTTCAGAGAATGTGTTACCCACGTGTCGACTTTGGAAGCGAAACCAAGCCTCTTCAACTAACGAAATATATCGATTTTCAAACTCTTAGCAAAATCTTTCGTCGTAATCTTCGGTTTATCATCGACGATGGCAAGCTGGGCTTCTTCATTGACGTCGGAAATACGCCCGGGGCGTGGTTGATCGTTTCAGTTAAAATCATCTTGACGAAATCTACCAAAACATTTTTGACTGTCTAAAGGGCTTGACCTCGATCCAAATAAACCTTCAGAATATTTTTGTTTTGCAGTTCGAGGGTTTACTGTAATTCCCTTCACCCTTACCGCGTATCCGAAAATTGTGCTGAAAGTTTGAGAAAATGCTTCTATTCACGCATAATACGCACCCCTTGTTCAGTAATCAAACCCTATATATTGTACCTCTCTAATTTCATTACACTCAACGTTTTCTACTCTTATTTAAAAAACAAAATGGTTTAAAACATAGAATATTATTATTCTAAATTTGTTTTATGATAATTCTTATTTTATTTTACGTTTGTTAGTATTGTTAGGTACATATGTTTGTATTTGACATCCTTATGGGGTCGCAATGGCAGAATGTCAAATTGTCGTATGTTTGTGGTGAGTGGACATTTTGCAACAGAAATCGACCAATGAAATGGCAATTTTTTAAGATTTTTTTGTATCTGTGCATAAAACGCTTTCCTAATTTTTGCTTATTAATTTTTAGAAAAAAAAATGCGTATTATACATGGGGAATTACGGTACTTCTTTCCGAAATTCATGGCTTATAATATGGACCAACTTTTACCCGCCATCTTTAAAACATTTCCGTGTGAGGAAAACGTCAACTTTCAACAAAGTCTGACACGCTACTGAAACCGACTGATACGGAATTCGGCCTCCGATCTCCACCTGAGTTGCTATATATTACCCCACCCGCACATCCAAGGTTAAGACACCTGGTATTCCTAGGCGGTAATCGATCTAGTTACTGAGCGGGTCTGACGTTGCTTAACTTCGTTGATCGTATGAGAACCAGTGCTTCAACATGATATCGCTGTGTCATGCTACCGCACACCCAAGCTTACAGAACCTGATAACTTCGGGCGGTCACCCGTAGGTAGTGACCAAGCGTGACCTTTGCTTAACTTCGTTGATCGTATGAGAACCAGTGCTTCAACATGATATGGCTGTAAGTCGCGATACTTCGCACACCCAAGCTTACAGGACCTGATAATCCCAAGCGGTCACCCGTCTAGGTAGTGACCAGGCGTGACCTTGCTTAACTTCGTTGATTGTATCAGAACCGGTTTCCATTCCATTATGGCCGTCACCACCTACTGGTAGTGACGGCCATATTGCTGGTAATTTTTACTAAAAAATGTATTCATAAAAAAAATACAGTAACTAGATGAGTAACCACTTGGGAACGCCAGCTGCTATAAGCATGGATGTGCAGGTGGTGTAATGAATAGCGACTCGTAATTGGAAATCAGAGAGCCGAGTTCTCGTATCAGTAGGTGTTATTATATTCACTTACGCGTAAATACCCTCAGGAAAGGTATAGATTTTCACCTACTCTAGCTATGGGTTAATCATAAATCATTATTATCTGGAAAAAATTATTCTAATATAAAAATATATTGTTGGTACCACTCAAAAATGTATTATTGTACCTACTATAAAAAATGTATTGTTGGTAAGTTTACTATAAAAATATATTGCTGGTGATTTTACCATAAAAAATATAATGTTAGTAATTTTACTATAAAATGTATTGCCGTTAAGTTTACTATAAAAATGTATTGCTGTTCAGTTTACTATAAATATGTATTGTTGGAAATTTTACTATAAAAATATATTGCTGGTAATTTTACTATAAAAATATATTGTTGGTAATTTTACTATAAAAATGTATTATTGGTAAGTTTACTATAAAAATGTATAGGTGGTAATTTTACTATAAATATGTATTGAGGTAATTTTACTATAAAATATTTTACTGGTAATTTTACTATAAAAATGTGCTGTTCATTTTTTTTTTTTTTTTTGCGGGTTGAGGGTGTCACTATTTGCCTATAGTTCCGACCCAAACAGCTGCTACAACCCCGCGTCAGAATAGATCAGGGAACAACAGCAATTAGGAGGTGGTTCCACGCTTCGGAAAACCTCCACTCCCCCGATCAGAGACCTCGATGCTGGTGTAGTTTATCATCATACCCAGGACGAAGAAAAACTTTTGACATTGAGTCTGTTATTTAATACGACTGCAATGAAAGAATTATACGACATAATTTAAATTCCATTTCAAGGAAAATGAATTCCACATGAAATTAATAGAAAGCCCACTTTTCCGACTTATAACTTGTTTTATTTTATTTTTAGATTCTTTGAGGGCATTGTAAATGCTACACTTCGTCAGGACAGCCTTAACGGAAACTACTGCAGAAAAACACTTTCTCCCAGGGTTCGGTTAGAGTCAATTATTTAAGCCTTCTTACGTATTGTTGGAAACAGGACAAACCTGTCATGTCTATATGTTGTGTCTCTTCAGAACCTAGGCGATAATGGCTCTCCACAATTTCCTGTCCTTAGGTTTTGATAAATATGGTCTTTTCGTTATTTAAAACATCCATTTACTCAAGCTCGCTAAGTAGGCCATGCGTTGTTTTCATCTGCACCCTTTCTCCGCAACCTGTCCTGTAAGTATCAAATTTTCAAAGCATTCTTTCTTCATTATGTACGCCAGAAATTTAAACAATCACTTATTTAAGTATAAGCGTCCTTTTTCTGTTTCTATTTTCTCGAAAACTTCGTCGTTATTCACATGTTCAGTCCATGGTATTCTCACCATTCTTCTGTAGAACCACATTTCTTTTGCTTGAAGTCTCTTATTCATCTGTGAGGAGATTGTCCAGCATTCACTGCCTTATAGGTGGACTGTTATTACGTAACATTCCAGTTCTCTTTTCTTTACTTATACTGATATTTTTCCTGTTTCTTAATATTTTGCTTAGCTTTTGCAAGGCATCTTTAACTATTTCAGTTTCGGATTTCGGTGTTGCATTCTTGTCCTCTGTTAAACACTTCCTAGATATTGTTCTTACCTGATTTTGGTGTCATCAATTTTGTTTCATTCTGTAGAAGTTTCTGGACTTTCCTTTCTCTGTCTATTATCAGCACTATGTCATTGGCATGTCGAATGTTGTTAGGATTATGGCCACCTATAAACAAACTTCGCAGAACTTCTAATTCTCTCAGGATTGCTTCACTGTAAAGTTTGATTGTTTTA